ATATATATATATATATCTTCATCATTTTCTATCCCTTCATACCCCTCATTCTTTTTTTCTCCCTCCTTTTGATCCCATTTTCCATTTCCAAGAGTCTACTTCTAGTTTTGATGATCTTTCCTTTATTTTGTTTATCCATTTGTTTAGATTTCAGGTTTCCATGTTAGAGAAAACAAACACTATTTTATCTTTTGCGTCTGCCATTTTCCTGAAAATGATTATGATTTCTTTCTCTTTTATAGCTGAGTAATATTTCACTGTGTAAATGCACCTGATTTTGTTTATACTTTCATTGGAAGATATCTAAGTTATTTCCAGAGTTTATTGTAAGCCATGCTGTTATAAATATAAGTATGAACATATCAGTGTAGTATAATGGTTTTAATTCCTTTTTTTTTCTTTTTTTTTTTTTTTTTTTTTTTGCCATAACTTGGGACTTTCCACTTGAGAGTCAGGTAGTGGCACCACTGAGCTAAATCCCCAGGCAAACGTGATTAATTCTTTAGGAAATATATGAACAGGAGATACGGTGGGTAAAATGATATTTCTGCTTTTAGTGTTTTGAGGAATTTCATTGGTGTCCCACCAACAAAAACTTAAATACGTAGGAATCAACCTCATGAAAGAGATGAAAGTTCTTTGTAATGAGAATTACAGAACTCTGAAGAAATAAATAGAAAAAGACATTAAAGAATTGAAAGACATCCCTTGTTCTTGGACTAGAAGAACTACTATTGTTAAAGTACCATATTACCAAAAGTAATCCACAGATTAAATACAATCTCTATAAAAATACCAGCAATATTCATCGCAGACCTAGAAGAAATATTACTGAAATCCATATGGAATCAGAAAAAAAAAATAGCCCAAGAAATTCTTAGCAGAAACAGCAAAGTAGAGACAATACAATATCAAACTTCAAGTTATACTAGGAGCCTCTAGTAACAGACACGTAGGCCAATGGAATAGAACAGAGACAACTGCATGTACAGCCATCTGATTTTTGAGAAAGGAATCAAAAACATAAAATTGGAGAAAAGACAGCTTTTCTTAAACAAAGGGTGCTGGGAAAACTCGATATCCACATGCAGAAGATTGAAGCTAGACGCTACCTTGTACTCTATACTAATACCAACACAAAATGATAAAATACCTATATATAAAAACTGAAACCTTGAAACTGCTAGAACATAGGAGAAAAACTTTCAATCAGAGGCACAGAGGAAATTTAAAGTAGTACAACCCTAGTTCCTTCTTAAATCTGTCTTGTTAATTCTCCACTTTCCTGGCACCATCCTCTTTCCTTTGTCTTTCACTTTTCTTTTTCTCTCATTGAGTTATTGGTACATTTTAGGTGTACAGTA